TTGAGAGCATATACAGTGTGCTCTGTCGCTGACAGGAATGCTGGCTCGGGGCCGTCGTGCGGCTGTCTGGGTACAGTGAATGTTGCGGTGGCGGGTGTGTTGAGTCCAAACACAGGCAGGGCCTCTCCGCTGACTCTGAGATGCCTGGCTTTCATCACGCAGATGAGCGAGGACTTCAGCTCACTGTGAGAGTGAGTAGGTGGGCCAATCTGCAGGGGGGGGGGAAGATGAGTGAGACTGGGAGTCGATGCGTTATGTTATTCTTTTTATGAGTCTGCTTGCAGAACGTGCGTCTTCTCTCTAGTAAGGAGCTGTGGGGCCGAACGCCGGCACCGGGTCGGAGGCCGGTGATAAAAATGGCTTTCGGTTAGCTTATTATTAAACATATTTCGGATCACGTGTGCTCGCTGCGCGGGGAGCCGATCAAAGGATGTGACACTGAGTCCCGAGCTTCATCCCTTGGCCCGTTTAATTCTTTCCCCAAAGGAGGAAAAGTTGGAGGAGGAGGAGGTGGAAGAAAGCTGTTGAAGTGTGAAAAGGACACTGGGAGTGGAAAAAAAAAGGGGGGGGGGGCCCTCCCTCGCGCCTCTCTCTCTTTTACAATCGGGCCCTCTCTCGCCTCGTCCTATGGTCCATAATGCGGCCCTGCTGGATAGCATGGCTCCCTCTGGTGCGAGTTGTGTGAAGTCTCGCTCGGCAGCTGAGGAAAAACAAATAGCTGACCTCAGCAGCAACAGGGCGTCAGTGTGTTTAGGCTGCGAGGTCTCCGACTCGCGGGAATTAAGCCGCCGCCGTGTGTCTCCACCATCGGCTCCTCACATTCCGGGTTCCAGACAAGCCGCGGCTCGCAGGGGAACACGGGAGGAAAAGCTCCCCGATTCAACATATGTACCGGTGGCTTTGGTGTGACCCGCAAAGGAGCCGACGCGGAGAGAGCATCCGGGTTTTTGGGCTTCAGAACCACGGAGGAGTTATCGGCATTTACACTGTACAAGGGGAGGAAACGGGGAGCATTGAAACTGTCATTTTGATACTTCTTTTCCCATTCTGAACCACCGTGTGTGTGTTGGTCAATTCAACACCTCAGTGAGGTGGTTCGAACCCGGGTCTGGAACGAGCACACTCGACACACTGTATTTGGGGTGGAGCAGAATGTCGCAACCAGCCCCGGGCCGATGGGCCTGGCAGAGTATGAAGGCGCAAGCAAGTTTGGCCAAACGTCTGCAGCTGCTGCCAACCGCATCCCGGCCATCGCCAAACCCCCCCCCCCCACCCCTCCCACCCTCCTCCCACCTCCCACCTCCCCCTCCATGCACGCCGCTGGCATCTGTGGGATCCAGAAGCTGTGGTTTTCCAGTGGAAATGCGATAGGGCCAAGTCACCATGTTAGAAGAATGGGTGTTTAGCCTCACAAACACCTGGTGCGGCCATGAGCAGGCTTCCCTGCTCGGGACAGCCGGCGGCGGCGGCGGCGGGGGGGGGGGAGGGCTGTGTGCGACTCACAATGTGCTCAGAGGAAAATGTCACATCTGTAAAGAATGCTGTGAGTTTCCAAGAAGGCTGAGGAGTTGCGACCCTAAAGCGCACAGGTGCAGAAAAGTGTGTCCTTTTGTTATTGAGGTGAGCGCTTTTCACATTTATTGGCCTCGCACAATTTGGGTGATGGATGAAATGTGATTATATTTCTGCGAGAGAAATTCAACGGCAGTGTGCTGGAGCGCCGATGTTCGCAACGAAGACACATCTATTAAGAAGCATGATCTCTATCGACAGCCTGTGGCGTCGAGACAAAGAGCGGTCACATTTCTTTATCGTAACTTGCGGAAATTCAAGTCATGCAGTCCGGCGTGAGCCTCCGGATCCGCTGAGATTCTTACTGCGTGTTTGTTTCAGCTGTCCGACCACCAAGTCCTCCCAGAGTAGCTTGCGCTGTCCTGTGCGGTGCAGTCAGCAGTTAAAACACATTCCGTGCATGTCGCAAAGGCCGCCCAGGGGTTAACGCGTCAGTAAGTAACGTATGCTTGAGGTGGGGCAGATGGAGGCCGTAACGACTAAGGAGGATCAGAGGTTGGTCGTGTTTTCATTTTTTTTTTTTTTCGGGTTGAGGCTGCAAAATAAGATGCTTCGGGTGTAGCTCCGCCGCCGCCAACCTATTCTGCGCTGTTGGTCCGCTCAGTATCCAAATACCAAGAGCTTTGCTGAAAACAGAATTGGTGTTTTCGGTAGTCCCACATTGAAGCCATTAAAGTATTTTGAATAAAGCCGATGGCGCTTGGCATGAGATCCCAACGAAACTGTGGAGAATGTCTTTCAAGAAGGGAAGGCGTGCATTCTTGTGGTAAGACACAGGCAGTTCCTTTATATGTTTGTTCGCTTAACTTAATTTTCTCATAGGAATTGAGATCTTACAAGCTGTGGGGCACATGTTGGTTGGGAAGATGTGTGTGTGTGTGTGTGTGTGTGTGTGTGTGTGTGTGTGCGCGTCCATGTTAGCAGCCAACTTCTGGAGGAGATTAAGGGACAGACGCGGTCGGGTTTCCTCCACGTCGGAGCCGTCGCTACGCAGCTCAGATCAGTCCAACCTCCTCAACGTCAAATCAGCCTTCGTGGTTTGTGACCCAAAAACTCTCTCAAGCTAATCATCTGTAGCGTCTGGAGCACTGAAAATAAGAGAGACGTCATGACGGGAATTACCTCATGCAAAACCCTGCATGATGGTTGTGTAATGTCTTATTTTATTCTTAACTTATTAGACGTTATAAGAAGAATCCACTCGTACAAGCATTCTCCATCGAATGGTCCCCGTGTACAGAAATGCAACAAATCACCCGTCTCGAAAGTAAACTCTAGTTTCCCTTCAACAAAACGGTGCACATGTCGTGCTGTTTGACCTCTGACACCGCGACCTCTTTGCCACTCACCCGCGTGCAGCTCCCGAAGAGCAATCCAGACGTGAGTGAGGCCTCTGTTCTCATTTCATCAAGGCCCAGCGGCACCGGGACTGTGGCCCATCAGCTTTTAATTAGCTCCAAATTTCAAAAAGAATGTCTCCTCGCTCCAGCAGCCGCGCACTTTCCTGCGGCCGCGGGGGCCTCTCAGTCATCTTCCGCACAGACGCCCGGTGCTTTGGGCCAGTCTAAGGCGTGTGGTGGAAAAGCTGAAAAGCAGGCGCCTGGCGTTGTGGCGGTGTTTTGCCACCAGGGGGCGCTGTGGAGTCTGATTCAGAACTTTCCCATCGGCTCGTCCTCTGCCTCTTCCAGAAGCATTTCGGCCTCGAGCCGACAACTCATCGAGCACCACTCTCCCCTTTAACCCCCGCCCACCCTCTTCATGCGCTGTGCTGTCCCCTCCGTCAACCCTCCGTCAGGGAAGGATATGAGGGCTCAGTGCTGCTGAGAGGCTCCTCTCCCAGGCGGATTCTCAGGTTGCCGCCGCGGCCTTTGATGGTGAAAGGCGAGCCGGCCAGGTCTTAGATGGATCCCCTGCAGGCAGGCAGGCCCGCAGACTGGCTCTCGTTAAAAAAGCACCACCTTTGTGTTCCCACAGGAGGTGGATGTAATTAACATAGCTTTAGTACTACCTGTGTTTGCAGCTGCCGTTGTCAAGGCTACTTCTGTGTGTGTTTAGGAACAGGGAGGGGTCGGGGTGGGTGGGTGGATGGGAGAGGCAACGGCGTGCACGTGCTGACTGTGGGGGTGTTCGGTACGCGGTGGCCCCCCTCCACCGCCCCACCGGGGCCCCTGCGTTCACGCACCGACTTCGGCCTTTAGTTTTCTCCTGATAGTGAGCAACTGTGATACCAAATCCGTCGCCGCGGGCTGGCCCGCTGGACGGGAGGCTCACTGAGTGACCTTCTGGTTGCGTTAAATAACCTTCGACCTCGTTGAAAACGACAACTAATATTTACGGCTTGTCCTCCCTCTCTTGTGGCCTTGCAGGACGTCCTCAAAGAGTGCCAGGAGCAGATTGAGCGCGTGTTGGTGAGCAGCCTGCGTGAGGGCCGCCAGCAGCAGCAGCAGCAGCAGCAGCAGCAGACGCAAAGAGGCCCCAGCGGGAAAGGCCTGGACGAGCTGGATCAGTCCTCCACCCCCACAGACGTGCGCGATGTCAACTTGTGAACCACCAGAGGGCGATACTGCACAGGATTTACAACAACAAAAAAAGCATCATGAAAAAAAATTTTTTTTTTTTTTTTTAATGCAGAAAAAAAGAACAAAAGAAGAAAAAATGACAAAAAAAGACACAAGCCCTTTAAAAGAAAAAGAACAATGCTTGCTAGTTGTTGTTTTTTTGTTTGTAGATTTTTCTTCAAATCAAAAACACCTGCCCACAAAATCAGATTTCCTACAATGTTCTTGTCCAAAAGCAAACAAATTTGATTGAAGATGAGCTCTGCGGTGCCTTGGATATACAGAAGGGAAGCCAATCATATCTGCATTCTGCCTTTGATTGTGTAGTACGATCGTTAACTTATATGAACCCATGCTAGAAGTTGTGGAAACCATTCAAAAGATGTCATGGGATCACGGTGGGGCTTAGTTTTTTTATTTTTTTCTTTCTCCGTTTTTTTTTACATTAGTAGAATCACTAACATTCGTGGCTGATGCGAGAGAGGACACAAGCTCCTCAACCATCAGGAGGTCCATGCGAGAGAGACGGACGAAGCCGTGAGAACATTATGTTAAAAGTTGGTGGGTCGCGATTCCATGGAAGAGGCGGGATCATAATAATTATTGATAGTATTAGTAATTGTTATGGTTATTATAGATAATATCATTGGATATGTTTTTGGAACTGAGTAGTAGAGATCAATAAGCTCCTCTTTGTCTGGCTGCTTGTGTGTCAGTTAGGTGTGTGTGTTCATGTGCGAGCACGGCAGATAACGAGCATGCGTGTGTGTGTGTGTGTGGTATGAATGCGTCGTGTGAACCTGTATCTATGGTAACCACGTGCGTTCTGTGGAGCAAAGTCGAGTCTACACTTAGAGGACTACGTACGAGCTGGAGGAAGCTACACGTAGTAGCAGGGCATCGATGCTAGATCACTGCCTTCATGCATTACCGATGCATCATGGTTCATTGTTGGCCAACAATAAACTTGTGTGCATGCACTATGAGTGAGACGGATAGAGATATAGCGAGGAAGAATGTGGGGGCGAAGGGACTTTCACTTAGAGCCCCCTTATCTTTCCGAGAGCATTTTCCCTGAGGTGGTAAACCTCAGACTTGGAGGTCATTTGAGGTGTTTGTTTATTACTTCCATTCTTATAATAATGATGCAGATACTTTCTAGTCACGTTGTTACGAGATGGTGTTTCCCGAGTTGCGAGAGGCTGCTTCGAGCGCGGACAGACAGTCGTAATGACCAATGCGAATGCGGAGGACATTGGACTCCACCAGGTGGGGTGTGGAAAGAATTAGAAAGAGAGGGACAGTTTTTGCAACTAATAAAAGTCCCCGTTGAACTGTGTGAGGCACGTGACTGCCGAGCACAGGGCTTGTAGGACAGAGAGGGTTCTGGTTGTGCTGCTGTGAGGAGGATTTGCAGCCAGCGGCCTGAAGATGACAACAAACTAAAGATGCCCGAAGGCCTTTATGATTAAAAAAAAAACTTTGATATCTTCATATTTGGCTGGAACCAACATTCATCCGTCATGATGGATGTCCACAATGACAGAGCCGAGTGAACAAAAACATTCTGGGTTTGTAAATGGATAAAACAAGCAATGCCGGATCATGTGTGGATTAACTTTTATGTAGGGGGTTTGGTTCGGGTGGGTGGGTGGGGGTGGAGGAGTACAGGATGATAATTTACTGTCAATGCATCTGGAGTCCCACATAGGGCTGTTTAAGCTCCCCTATATGATTTCAATGGCAAAGCACTTTGAGACCATGCTCCCCAGGAGATAAGTAAATGTGTCGGGTCGTGATTGGAGGTGAATGGATTTTTTTTTTCTTTTTTTTTTTTTTGTTGTCCTTGTTAGCCTTTTCTTTGGTTTACTTTGTAGGGCTGGTTTCCCAAACGTCAGACACACCCTCGTCAAGCAAGAGTCCAATTAATAAAAGGCTTTTCCACAACTTGCGACGAGAGGACATTCCGATCAAAAAACAAAAAACACAAAAAAAAACACATTCCTTTTGAAGCAAACGGCGAGTCGGTGGGGAGTCTGATCACTCAGAGAATTTGAGCAAATATTAAAGGCCGAACTGATTTGGAAAATGCCAACAGGCAGAGTTCACTGATCCACGGGTCCTGTTTGATTTTATTTCACTTTTTTAAAAGAAAAAAAATTAAATATTTGTTTCTACTTGAATTTTTTTTTTTCTTCATATTTATCTGCATCCCAGCCTCGGATGATCACAACAGGGCAGCACCGAGCTACCAGAGGAGGTGGTCGTAACATCTGATATTTGCACATGTTCTTCAGAGGGCCGTGAGGTTTGAATTTTTAAGACAGCAGGGCCTTTGGTCGGAGACCATCTTAACTGATGTGTGCTTCCGGGGCTGCTCCGTTCTCCGTGGTGCTGGCTTGTGCATTTCGGGCCGATCGTCTGTCAGTGAACACGTCCGTCCCCTGTGAGCTTTGCTGCTTCAAATCATTGGCGAGGGGGTTCATCAGCCAAACAGACGTCCGCACCAAACAAGAGACCGATTTTCTTTTTCTTTTTTTTGCTTTGTATTGTTTTAATGAAACACAGAAAGGTGTCTTTGACTCAATGTTTGAGTCGTTCCTCGACGGCATGTGCCTTCGCCGAGTGTATGTCCGTCAAACTGAAGATAAATGTGGGGAATCACGTGTTTTAAGTGATGTTTTTCAGTAAAACTGGGCAATTTTATGACGTATTTGCCAAAACATCCCCGTTTGGATATTTGATATAACCTCTTCATTTTGCTCTCTCCCAAACGTAATAGTTGTGATTTTCTTTCCTGCAAATGATTGTTGCATGTGTTATATATTGAAACCATCTTTTCAATTTGTGTTTGATATATTTTATGGGGTGACCAGACCCACACAAGGGGTTTTCTAAGATTTAGAGATACTGTATTCCAAAGTGAAGAGAGGACAGAAGAGGAGGTGTGAAGACAAGAAAAAAGTGTCAATATTTTTATTGAGTTATTGTTGTCTTTTTGCGCTGCTAAAAGCTATGAATTTGTGTCATTTATACAAAAAAAAAATAACATTACTTAGTTGTGATGTGTCACTTGAGTGTGCTGCTATTTTATAAACATGTGTATTATAATATAATTATTTTACTGCTTAAGAGATACATTCAGAAAAAACAGAAGTAGATGGTGATAGAAGAACATGAAATGACTATTCGACTGGAAATGTTCTTTGTACAGTTTGCTTAGATAGCATGTCTCCTTTCCCTCTTCTTTTATCTATTTTGCTCTCCTTCGGTCACATTCTTCTTCAGTGGTATTTCGCATACCTCAGGATTACTGGACAAAACAAAACACAAGCAAATCTTATACCGATGCCTCTGCGGTTAGTCGCCCGGAGCGCAGGGGGAAACGCGTGCGACGGGGGGTGGAGGGAGAGCGAGGAACGACAGGTTATTCTTTTTGTGGATGATTCCCACTATTTTAGTGGAGAAACAACTTGCTCAGTGAGATGGACTTAACCTATTGGAGGGCGGGCGCAGCAACATCTCCTGTATGGGGGGTTATTTTGTGGATAGTGCAAGCATGTTCATTTTTCTGTTCATCTTGGTGCTAACATCTGACTTGTTGTGCACGAGATGGGGAAACAGCATTCCTACAATGGCCAAAGTACAGTTCTTGCTTTATACAAGCACAATCACCCTGAATGTCAGTAAATATGGATTCTGTATGTAAGAAAAGAAACGTTTTGGTCTGAAACATTGTTTGTGCACCATTATAACTGCCACGTGAGAACAGTTTGAGCTACACCTGTCATGTCCGACCATAAATACTCTGATATCTGGAAGTTTCAATGGTGCAGATTTCCCTTCTAGCTGCCCCGCCTCCACTATAACTCATATCATGTACCTCAAATGTCTGTTGCACAACCTCTGTTCAATAAACTTCTGCTTTAAAGGGTGTGACACCACATCAGCTCACTATTTCCCACGCCTGTGCTCCTTTTAAGCGGTGCGTCTGATTGTTTCATAATCAATGGACTGGTTTGTGTGGGAGTCGGCAATGAAACAGCAAGTTTAGCTGCACTTTAAGGGTTGAAAGGTACACAAAGCACCGATGACGAATGTGGGAGAATAACAACGGTTCCCCTGCATGCCAGAGAATGAGGACGACCACTTATAAACACACCCTGCAAATGTGTACACACAAGAATGTTTCAACCGCGTCCAATAAATCTGCATGCAACCAAAAGTGAAGGAAATTTACTGGTAACAAAAAGGGCTCTTCACCTGTGAGCGCAGCAGGAAACTGAGCATTATAGACGTGAAGGGACTTAATTTATATAAAACTAAATTGTGCATAATCATTGAAGTAAAAAACTAGAAATAAAAAGGCAGACCGTTAACCTCCTGCTTTACCTCACGTTCTCTGTGGCACGTTAGAATCGGTTGCACGGTTTGGGTGACACATGCATTAATGTGTGTAGCAGTGATAATGAAGGAGGGTTGAAACTTTAATCTCCCAAGTACGGCTGACTGGCGAAATGTCACAAATAAAGTGTGCTGTTTGTGCTCTCTAGTGGTGACATTTATTAACGTATCTGATGCTTAGACGTTACAATCAGCCACAGACTTGTAAGTATGAGTTCAATATACTAAACTAATAAGACCGTAATAGGTTTTAGATTAAAAGTTGGCCTTTTGTAAACAGGCTAACAGCGGTGATTTCTGTATTACTTCTATTGATCACAGGTGCAAATGCTTGGATTTAGCTCAGATTTGCGGAATGGGGGTGTCTGTCAGTGATATGACTGGTGACCAGTACAGGGTGTACCCAACACTCGCTGGGACGGACTCCAGCCCCTGAACCTTGTGATTATTACAGTATTATCTTAATATGAAGGTTATTATGACATTTTCTGTCATTTTTATGGCTGCCATACAATTTCATAATAATCTTAGAATAAAGAGGCCACTGAACGGTGCTTTTAATTTTCAACAACAATGAACAACGCGGTTGGTAATGAGGCGAGAATATCATGTGTATACTTGAGCCCATTGAAAATATTCTCTCTGCAAAACTCCTTGTGAGGTGACAAATAAACACTTCTGCCTACATGCAACACTATCGACAGAGAAAGTGAACACCCTAATACACTGTTGCTTTTAGTTTGTGTCAACCAGACTAACCAGATCTAACCAAAAAATGCAAATAAGAAAATTAAGTTGGCACTGGACAGTGGATGGCGTGATGGTCATGAATTAATGAATGGTCAAACATTTGGACTTAACCTGAAGAATCTTTCATAGTTCCCGCGGACTGAGTACCGTGTCTTTCAAATGAAAATAAAATGAAAAGATTGATTTGTAACCTTTTCAAGTTAAAAATGTAACACATATTCAACCAAATTTAAGTGCACATTGGCACTGATAAATTTTTTCAATAAATTTAGTTTTTTTATTGACAACAACAATTACGCTAATGTTAAAGCTGCATTTTATAAAACACGAAGTTACAACGTGGTCTTACATCAGTCTTTGTTCTAATACTTTCCAGCGGTAGTTTTACGTGTATTAGTGTAAACTGCAGTAAACACACTTTACCTCCGCGCGCGACGCGAGTACGCGACGGTACGTCAGTCTTCTTGAAGCTGCCACACGTCAAGGCGATATTATATACACGTGCTTTATTGTACAGCATGAAGACGCTGACATTTGCGCTGAGCCTTATTCGACAGTAAGTGCGGTTGACGTTCATATTCATATAGTTTTTATGATAAATGTCTCGTGTTTGTTTCCCCTAAAAATAGACTGTGAGGCTGCTTCGACCTGCGCACGCAGCACACGTTACATGTGATACAGTCACCCTGCATGCGTTAATACATGTGTAACATGCCTGAGGGGTATTTGTAGCGAACATGTTAAGCCCCCTTCGTGTTGCACAAGAAGTCGGTTTATTACTTTCACCGTCATATTTCAGTTTCAAGCGAGCGCATCTGCCTGCGGTGACGTCATTGAAAAGAGTTCGTCATAGAGCGCGACCCCCAGTGGAGCGATTAGGAACAGCAGCTACTTTTATAGAAACGCAGTTTGTCTTTCTGCAATTCTCATATTAGCAAAGTCACCCTCTACTATCGAAATAGTAATAATATTTTCTATTTCGAAAAGGCATTTCACTATTTTCTGATATCTGAATATTTGACATTTAATAACCGAACCAAAGATTATTGATAGATTAATGGTTAACAGGAGCCATGTTTGATCATCTGCCCTCCTTAAAGGTCCCGTCAGCAAAACATTATGCAGAGTAAACATGTTCACGTGTATGTATGTTTAAAAAAAAATCATTTTAACTAATCTGTTTGCTCCTTTACTTTGATATTGATTAGTCGTTTATTTTCTGCAGTGGGGAAACGCAGTACAACAAAGACGGCCTGCTGCAAGGTGTAGTACGACTGAATATGTACAGTAAGACGTTTACAGTCTTACCCTCATCCTTTCGTCTCCCTCCATACAGGCCAGGCCATAGATTCGCCCTTGTCTGAGAGCGGGCTGCAGCAGGCTGAGGCAGCCGGCTGTTACCTTAAAGATGTTGAGTTCAGCAACGTGTTTTCCAGTAACATGCTGCGGGCGCAGCAGGTGCAACGCTTCAACCTTCATTTGTAAAATGAATCAAGACACTGCAGGGCGTAGTTATTTTACTGTTTGATCATTCAACTTTATTGAGTCGCACATGAGTCCATATGAAAGCATCAAAAACAAATACAACAAAACTTTATACGATAAAAGACACACTGACATTTATTCAAATTTTTACGATAAAACATTTACTATTACTCTGTGTCTGGATTAGTCAAGGCTATTAGTTGGCTTGTGCATACAGCTGCACATCGTCACCATCACTTTAATCAAACCGGATAACGTGACCCAAATATCTCATTTTACGTACCACACTCTTGGCTGATTAGATTTAATAGAAACGCACTGTCACACCTCATTGGACCGAGCGTGTCAGTTTGTGACATTTGTTCCTGTGAGCAATATTAATTGTGGCAAGAACCATGAAAAAAACACCCAACTGATGTATGTTAGCATCTGCTGACTAGATGACGTCAACGTGTATTATCTATTCCAGACGGCTGAAACAATAATGAAACACAACCGCAGTTGTTATGGCTTGCAATTGGTGTGTGACGCTTTGCTTAAGGAGAAAGTGAGTGGCATTTCCTCTGTGTGATTTTACAGCAAAAAGTGTGTTGTTTTTAGTTTTTTTCACGAAAAACATTTTCCTAAAATACATTTACTCATTAATAGATACGCATGAGTAATCCAGTCACGATCTTGTTGTTTCCCAGAGCTTCGGGATAGCGGAGGGGAGGCCGGTGCAGGACGTGAGGGAGATGGCCGAGGCAGCGGGCCAGTCGTTTCCGGGCTTCACCCCTCCGAAGGGGGAGACTCAGGAGCAGGTGAGGCGGCGACGGCCTGTGGCTGTTGAAGACGGGTTGAGTAGCTGTTTGTCTGTCATATCATCCATCATGCAGGCATTATTTATCTCCCTTTTGTTCAGCATGTAGTTACCCCACACATCAGATAACACGTGTGTCCGGATACAAATCACCACCTCCCTTCATTTCATTACTTCCATTGCAAAATATATGATTCCCCCACTTTGAAATACTCCTTCCAACATAGGCAACTTAAATTAAACATAAAACAGATTGAATGTGTTTCTTTGACACACACAATCATCTGGTTTGGCAAGAAATACTAACAATTGGTCTGAAAAAAGGAAATAGCCTCCATATTTAACTGCGGCTGTGGATCCAACCTGAATCCCCCTCTAAGTGGAAGGAAAACATCTCATGTCATTTTCTCAGTCAAATCCCTTCCTCTGCATGGATGCAACAGAGGTCGCAGGGCCTCTTTGCACCCACACGATCCGTATATCATTTCGTCATCATTTTGTGCCGAAGCACCTGTGAGGCAGGAGGACCAAAGTACACGCCCTTCCACCCCCCCAAACACCCGCAGCGAGTTCGTCACTGCTCCTGATTAAAAAGTCACCACTTAGCTGTGTTGTTTGTGTCAGAGGCTGCGTGGGCGCGTGTGTGAGGGGGCGTCGGAAGGAGGGATGTTCTATTCCCGAAAGACCTTCATCCATTAGATCTCGGTTTGGACGTTAACTCCGGTGCATCCCAGTACGTGACCGGCACGTGACCGGCACGTGGCGGCGATGATGATGATGATAATGCTGAAAGATGGAGTTGACGTAAGCAACAGGCGCCCCAATCGGTGCCGGCTCCATGAATCCCTCCCAGCTCTGACCGGTCACTGCTTGTCGGATCCGGTTAAAACTCAAAAACCAGCTTGTGTGTGTGTGTGTGGTTGTTTTTTTGTTATGGAAAAGTTTGTATCCATCTTGTGTTCATTACAACAACCCTTCCCCTTGTTGCCCTCACAGAAGCAGCTAGACACGTTTGCCTGACATGTCGTGTTTGTAAAGAAATACAATGCAAGAGAGAAGCATGACGCAGTTCCTGAACGTCTGCTCCGTTCAGGTGACACAGCGGGTCAAAGAGTTCTTGGAGAAAACCCTCCAGCAGATCGGGGCCGAGCACTGGCGTGACAGAGGGGAGGAGGACGAGACCTCTTCCTCCTCCTCCTCCGATCCGTTGTCAACATCTCTTGCGGAGGGACGAGCAGACGAGGGGGTCAGAGGTGTCCCTGTCCACGCTCTGGTCGTCACCCACGGGGCCTACATGTGCGTGGCGGTGCGGTTCTTGGTGGAGGAGTTGGGCTGCTCCTTGCCGCCGGGCACCGACAAAGAGCACGTCTTCGCTTTGAGTCCAAACACGGGTCTGAGTCGGTTTCTCCTCACCGTGAGAAGAGCGGAGGGCAGGTTCGCACTGTCAGCCATCCGCTGTGTGTTTGTCCACAGGAAGGGGGGGGACGTTCAAAAGTAGGAGCTAAATGAACAGCATTTTTTTTTTCAAGCTGAGTTAAAAGTGAGACGTGCCGAAAAAAAGTGAGAAGTTTCCTAGCTGTTGAAAACCAGCTTATTTTAAAAATATAATCAAGAGAAAAATCTAAGGTCATGTATTGAGGTGTTCATAGTTTACCAGATGCAGTACATCATGGTAAACTAAAAGTAATCGAATGCAGCAATCTAGTTTAAATTCACCAATATTTCATACTGCGGCCTGAAAAAAGAATGATTTATTTAATTTCCAGGGTATGTAATGCTGTTGTGAGCTTTTATTTCCACTCGTAGAGCGTTTGTGTAGCAGTGCTCGCGTCATCACGTCTCTGGCTGTTCATTACTGTAAGTGTGGGCAGCTTTGTGCTCTAATGAGTCCATGTTTCTATATATATTCTCCGGAAGTTCAAAAATCCTACGTAGGAATAAGGAGCGGAACTGCAACAGTGTTGACTTTTGGGGAATCAGTGACTTTGTCATTGTTGGGAATTAACACTTGGGTCAAAAGAAAAAGTGCAAGCAGGTGGTTTCTGTGCTTTATTCCACTCTCAGCTGTTCTGTTCTCTGTAACCCTGAAATTGAAGAAAAAAACAAGGTACGCTGTCTCAACTTCAGCGCGTCAATATATTTCCAAAACAAGAAAATGTTCTGTATTATGGTCAGGTATCTGTGGAAACTTGGGAAAAAAAGATAATTTAAATATAAATTTAAATAAAACATTAAGTCTAAATTGGTTCTCATTTGTTCAAGATCCAGAAACACATCGTCGCCTACACTGGTTCCATTGAGTGTGAATGCTCCTTCACTTGCATCATTGTCTACGTTCCTTTAACATGCATTATTTCTCTATTTGCCAGTTACGTAACCAATTGGCTGTGTGCATAACAACCATGTGATTTGTGTGGCCTTTCCATGTCAGATGATTGGTTGATGGGAGAAAAGACTTTGCAGCAATGCGTCTGTTTGTTGCGTAAATAGATCATGAACATTGGAAATGTTCAACTAAAGCCTAAGTGTAGTTAGAATTAGAATTGACCTCATAAATAATTTGAACCTAAAAACCGACAATTGGATAAACCGAGTTCAGACATTGTGCACCAAGTGGTTAACGTTTATTGTTTCACATAAGAAGTAACACAACATGAACTGTATAAATAATAATAGAGGCTAAGAAGGAAGTCTTTTTACACATTTCAATAAATAAATACCTTTTCCTCTCTGTGATTATTGGTGTCCGGCACCTGACGTGATTTGATTCTGTTCATGACTGTGTGATCTAAGGAAACGGCAGATTCTTTTCTTCAGCAGTAAAAGTGTGGAGCTTTACTGCCCCAACAAATGCGTGTATAAATATTCACAATTACTTACAGATTACACATTTTCACATTTGCAAAACAAACATTGCAACATCCAACCCGAGGGTTTAAAATTTAACTTGACGGAAGAGGTCAGCAGGACGCCGGCCCAAACTTTTTCAAAGACCAGATGTGAACAAACTGCTGTGACGTAACGTGTTACATCACGGAGCAAGATACCACCATTCAAACAATCTGAACATGCGATGATTTAATAAAGTGACTTTTTGCTTATAAACCAAAGCTCAGTCTCTTATTCCTGTTCTGCTCGGTCTGCAATATTAGTCTTGACGGGGCTGACCGGCCCGTTGGGCTGGAGGACCCGCAGGGGGTCATCGCAGGAGGTGATGGTCTCCTTGGACACAGCGCCGGCCTGGTCCTGATCGGGCTGCCGGTGGTCTACATCCTTGTGGTCCTGGGCAGAATGCGAGGGGTGTGAATGTGACCTTAATGGATCGGAGGGGTTCACCGCATCGCTCCTCCTCCGTCTCTTCACCGAGGGGCCGAGGAAGCGCTCCACCAGGGAGGAGGAGGGGGAGGAGGAGGAGGAGAGTTTGGGGGGCTGCCGGTAAGCGACTCCCAGCTCTGACCCCAGTGGTCCAAACCGTCGCCGGCCCACGCTTATGGAGTTAAACACGTCATGGGGGTCCGCCGCGTCCAACCAAACGGGCTGGAAGAGACAATCGTCTGCGTCCGCTTGTCTCTGTTGGGAAAAGAAAGAAAAAAAGCAAGAAAATACAAAATGTGACTTTTTTCCCCCCCTGCAGTCATTTCCTGATTTCAGTCAAATGAAATGCAATACTCACAGAGCTGTACGGATCTCCCGTTGAGTCCATACAGAGGAACCTTTTTCTGCGCAAATCAAATATTGACACTAGGTTGCTGGTAGCTGTTCTTACTGGCAGAATTACTGTAAGAAGAAGGTTTAAAGATGCAAACATCAGTTACGAACGACAAAGCAACATTGTACGTATTGCAATGTTAAGAGTATGTTGAACATTTCTGACATAAACATGCAAAATATGCGTTGTTTGTCAACATCACAACATATATTTGTTCTTTTATACAGTATTCATGTACTTCCAAACTTTGATCAGGCACACATACATTTCTTGTGCATTTTGTTTTACATTTACACAAATATATAAAAAGCATGCAATTACCCTGTTAGTAAAAGAAATGAAGTAAGCCTAGCAATTATTGCTCAAAAGGAATTTACTTTCTACAATTACCAAATGATCTGCATTGAAACGAGCTGTGTTTTTTCTTCAGGACGTGGACAGACTTACCAAAAGAGTTTCTGTAAAGGCCTTTTCTCGTTGATCCACTGGGCTCCCAGTAGAAAGGACTGGTACCAGCCGACGTATCGGCGTGTGCGCCCGTCTGGAAGCTCCTCGGCTGATGTCGCACCAGGCGCGTTGGCCCCCGGAGCCTCGGTGCACAATCCACCGACAGAGACGCGTGTACGGCAATCAGGACGAGTGAGAAGAAAGCCGGCTGCATGGTCGATGGCGAGGCCGCGCTCTCTTTGCTCCCAACAGCACGAACGTTCAGGTTGGCGTGTGAGCAGCTACTGAAGGAGGAGAAAGTCCAACAGGTCTGTTTAGACAGAGGGTCAATGAACTGGTGGACTCATTTACCAAAATGACCCAAAGGCTACCTTTTCCTGGGATAAGAGTCTTCTGGAATGCCTGCAGGCTGCACTGGTGGAGCATCTGAACTATTTTAACTGTGTGAGAGGAATGCAAACCTTTGAAAACTTCAAAAATAAAGATCAAGCTTGAAAACTCCAAAGGAAGCAGAAGAGAGAGGACAAAGAATCAACTAAACCCGTGTATCTGATCAAGAGGAAGAAGGTAAGAACTTTCCAAACTAATCGTATACTCATTGTTTGACTTGGCGTTTGTTTGGTTTAGTACTTTGAATATCTCGTTGGTCAGAGTAACATTACTATTAGTATGAAGTACAACTCTAATAATGACCCCAGGCCAAGAAGAGCACGTTATAGCAACTATGAGTGATGCACCTCACGATAACTATTATATTTTGCTACCTTGCTTAATAGTTACATGCTGCCTCTCTTTTCCTTTCACCAGAGTACATTTCCAAAAGCTTTGCTCCATTTATAGATTTTTTTAAACTATTCTATTGCCCCATGGAAAATAAGGCTCTTCACTCCTGACCTTGATTGACTGATAGGCGATAGTTTTTGATATAGTAGTTTTCTTTTCCAGAAGGTTGAACTTAAAAAAGAAAAACAAACCTTTTGCTTATTGATGAGGGGAACAAACAGGAACGGCGGCACTGAGTATCACTTTTTTATTCAGGTTTCTTGTTCATAAATTATGTCTTGAAGTTTTCCTGGAAGGAGCTGAGTACTAATAATAGGTGAAACAGAGACGAAGGTCTGACTGAGTTATTTTTAGTTTGCCGTGTTGAGTTCATTTTCAGAGAAACTACCTTAAAAGAACTGCTCTGTTTATCCCAAGTAAATCTAAAAAAAAACATAAGTTCATGATCTGAAACTTTATTCATGTTGTTGTTGACATGTATGCGTTCTTGAACAATTAGGCCATTTTTGTACATTCAGCTGATCTGCTGAGCACTGCCTTAAATATTTTACATTATGTCAATTTATCGTTTCATTCAAATCAATTCAGATGTTATACCAATTAAACACTTAATTGTGTCCTCGAAACTTACTTTTAAACTCCAGGAAATAGCGCAATTAAAGAAAGTGCAGTCGTTTCATTTTCATACATCTGCTTAAACGTCCCTCCAAGCGTGTCCCTTCACCAGGAGAGGGCGCCGCATACCCACTCATAATACCCACTCATAATACCCACTCATATACCCACTCATAATACCCATTCATATACACTGTAACAAATTGCTGTAAATTTACGATGCATTTCTAACGGTATCTTACAGTATGTCATAATAACTGTAACATACAGTTAAATTTCAATCCCTTGCTTGTAAATTAACGGCCAATGTCATGAATAAACAGTTAAACCTGTCAATTTACAATAATAGCAGACTACCGTAATTCAACTGCATGTTACATATATTTTATATAAGTGGTGGAAATACACATACAAGTGCAGTGAATCACAATCCATCTACATCTGTTGTAGGTTAATGTATGGAAGCCCATGTCAGCCACTGAAAAACAGGTCCTGTAAGTCATCATAATGAGATAGTATCTCATGAGATACGATTATGACTTTGACTTACAGGACATTACTATACATGTAGCTGTCACTTTTATCCAAAACGCCCATGGTTTGACATAATTGTATGTGGAGTAATTGGGGGTTAGGTGTCTTGCTCAGGGACACTTCGACTTGGCATAGGGAGCAGCCAGGATTTGAACCGCCGACCTTATGCTGCACAGCACACCCTCCCTATCCCATGCGCCACCTTCACTGTCATTTCAGTACCTGGAATGTAAAGATTATAAATATTTGTTTTATTCAAAGTGTTCATTGCCTAAAAGGGATTTGAGTGTTAATCGTGACCGACTGCTTCTGAACGTGACATCAGACACGTAATCTCAGTTCATCCAGAACACCTGTGCAGTTCAACATCGAAGAATTTCTCATTGCCTCGTCTCCCCAAGTAACGTTGGTAAGTGTTGTTTGCCTAGCATGATTAACATTCTCCTTCCTTACATCTTGTTGTCTTCCTCAACTTTATAATTTTAATATTTTACCAATGACAGTGTTTCTAAATATTTGATTTTGGTTTGTTTTACAGAGGCACTGGATTAAGGACGCCAGCCGTTTGCCGTGGTCAATTGAAAGTGTTCCATAGCGTATTGTTGCAGTTGGTTTACCTTGTTCCTAATGATTTTATGATTCATTTTCTTATTATTGTATACATGCGGCATATTTTATGTTTTGTTCTTGGTTACAAATGCCTAACATTTTTGTCTTAAAGGCATCTAACCACTATGACCGAAATAATATTGTTTGTCTTTCTTTAATTTGTGGGGAATTAAATGCAAAAGTATACGGTTATAAGTAAACGGTAACATTAGTATTTATAACACAAAAAACAGTAATCGTATGGTAACAAACTGTAATCCAATATACGACAACATACCGTATATTACGGTAAATAAAACCGTAAGTTACTAGCGTCGACTGCCGGTAAATTGCAGTTAATTCACAGTAAAATTGGTTTTAAGTTTCTGGTAACATACAGTAATCCATTTTACGGTAACAGTGTAAAAAACATTTACGGTATTATACCGTAAAATAACGGTAAATTCCTGGCGTCCTTGCTGCCTGTAAAATACCGTTAATTTACGGTGGTTTTACAGTGTACCACTCATAATACCCTCCCATAATACCCACTCATGATACCCACTCATAATACCCACCCATAATACCCTCTCATATGCCCACTCATATACCAACTCATAATACCCACCCATAATACCCTCTCATATGCCCACTCATAATACCCACCCATAATACCCACTCATAATATCCACTCATGATACCCCCTCAGTGACTTTGGCTCCTCCTGTCATCTGTGTTCAAGCCTCAAGCAAACACAACTTTAACGCACTGAATCACAACAGCTTTTACAAAAGGTCTTTTATTATCATCTCAGGAATACAGTTGACTGCTGTGCACAGCACATACGTACAAAAATAAGAAGAAAACCATTTGCTATATAGTATTTTAGTTACTCATTATCGTATTTTTCAGAAACAAATGATTGGAGAAGTCTGTTGTCTCACACTAATTTACAATCATTTCAATAATCGGAACTAAGGCAGAAGGTGAGGTATATGTTAAAAAAGAGGAGGGGGACTCAGAGGAAGCACTCTACCCTCAGTGCAGGAATAGAAAACTGAGAGAGAAACACAAAGGCTGCTGGCACACAGGGACACACACACACACACACACTCAGGAGCTCTCTCACGTGTACACACACACACACACACACACACACGTTTGAACCCAGATCCTTCCATAGACCCCCGGTTCCCTGTGAGCCTGAAACACATTTTAAAACCAGCTGAAGGTATGAGAAGCACAATGGCAAAATCCAGACACTGGATCCTTAATCAAAGGGCGGAACACACACGTAATCCATTCTCCGTCTGCATTAAGGAGGCGTCAGTGTTAACGGATGGTGTACCAGTGACAACCACGCTCTCAGTTTCCACTGTATCGTACAACCTCTTTCTGCCTCTCGAAACGTATCAGGTGTCCCTTACTAGTGAAGGGAGCCATTGTAACTTTACAATTCCCACTTGATTCATCGCTTCTTGTGCCGGTAGCGTCCTCTGAAACATACCATAATAAATCAGAAATTACATCACGTAATAATGACAATGTTATCATCAAAAACAAGTGTTTCTGAGAGCTTGTTTTGATGGAAGCTGAGCACGGGGAAACAGCATGTACCCCATGTTCAGTAAATATTATATAAAATAAATATTATAATATTTAATATTTTGACAAATTAGCAAAAATACTTCTCCAGCCAAATCCTCACTGCCACAAAATCAGTTCAGAAGAAAAATCTGATCATAGTGAAGCAATAAATAAAATCACAATGAGTAATGTGATGCTAAAGGGAAGAAAAAGAAAGTCATTCTCCTGGATCACAGCATTTACCGCACAACTTGTTGACCTCAAGTGTCCCTTTCCTGGAAGCATTTGATTCTCTATAAGTAGACTTTTTGCTACATAACGACACGCTCAAATCACAGGCGGTGCTTTCTTTTCTTTCACACGTCCCTCCCGCCTCGTTCTCCTCCTGTGAAGAGAGTACAGCACATCAGCTCGCACAGACTCTGCCCCGTTATTCCTGACTCGAGGTAAATCTATCTGATACCATCTCTGCTGTCGCTTTGGCAGAAACAGGACATCAGGACACATGCATGTAGAGACACACACACACACACACACACATACACACATGCTTACAAAGACTCCAGATAGCGCTCTGTCGTCTCTGCCACTAGACATAAAAGCTGGAGCTTAAAGGGCACGTAAACCATTGCTCACAGACATTTTGTCAACGCGTTGCAGTGATGTTCGAAAGGGCATGAGGTGAAATATGATAACTATACAACTCTAATAGCCATGCATGTTTCTTTCATCATATGACACCAAACTGGCCTGAGTGCTGGTTCGCTACTGACAGGATATTGCCGATCAAGTGCCGAAATAGCAAAACGTGTCTCAAAATCATAAAGATAAAATCTAGCTCTCTCACACCACATTTCCACATTAAAAAGACTCTGCTCGGGAGAACAAGAAAAGTGCAGAATCCTTCACGTCTTTGTTATACAGTACAAGACAACCATTCACGTCTTGAAATAGCAGGCGCAGAGCTCTGTGACCGACTAAAGCCGTCGAGATGGACCAGAAAACGTGCCTCGGTCAGTAACACAAAGGCCAGGAAGCACAGGTCTTCGACCTTGGTACAAAAATGGCTCAGATGAGCGGGACAAGAATCCCAGGGCCCTCGACCGACGAGGGGCCCGCTAAGTGTGATGCTCAGGTATTTTACCCCACATTATTCACATCCTCGCCAAGTTAAGCAAACAACCAGTGCCACATGCCGAGTGCCATCTAAGTCATCCGCACATCATTGCTATCTTCAACTTTGCTCGCTCTTTGTTCTCCTCGCCCCCTTCGTCTCTGAAAGAGGAGCCTGAGCAGTTGTTGAATTCAAGTATGGTATGCTGCATACACAAAGCCCGGAGGAACGTTGCCTTTATAACCCTTTGGTTCGCTGCGTTTGGCAAAATTGCTCGTCTTTCTTTGTTTGCAAGAAGCCATCCTGTGACTCAGCGGCCAATCTCAAAAATGCGCTAAAAGATCTGGGACCTGTGAGCGCGATCGACATCTTCTAAATGTCCGACGGACTAAGTTACCTGAAGTATTGTTCACATATCCCAGAATCATTAACTCAGAAGTAATTCAAGTTCCATCCAAACCAAACCAGAGAATCTACACTATTTCAAATGAATGCAGTGAACCATCATTTTTACAGGTAATTGAGCACTCAATGATGTTCACTGAAACACCAACACCAGACTTTAAGCTCCAAACATCATCAAACCCGTGTGAAAGTCACACAACTCCCATCTTCACTTTTAAATATGAAGTCAAGGTTCCAGACCAGAAGCGACAGATTCTGACAATGAAACCGAACTCAAGGGAAATATACAGGAGGGCATTTCGTTTCATAGGTCTGGTATATTCTGTATATTCTGTTACAGAAGCACCCTTGACCTCGGACGATGAAAAAAAAAGAAAGCCTTTCAAATCGAGGAGCTCTTAAACTGAGAAAGTCCACATTTAGACTTGAAAGTAACGCATGCCGACATATTTACTAAAAAGTCGCACATTCAATCTGGCCTGACGATCCGGTCACATTTGTGTAAATAAAACCTGGGATTGTCAAAGCTCCCTTGGAAATGATAGGGGGCGGATGGGTGCCGACTCTAAATCTAGCTTCCCATATTAACAACGGCCTCCACTGGGTGCCTGTGCAGCATAGTCTTGATTCCCTAATTGGTCTAATTATGGAAAGCAAATAAAGTGGAGAAACCTCCGGCCCTCTAGGAATTGGGCTCAGGCCTCCTGGTGGTGTCTGAGGAGGCAACCACTTGTGTTTCATTCCTATTTCTGACTTGAGCTCCGTGTTTCTCGCATGCAAGGGCAAGGGCAAGGGGGGGGGCGCAAGTAGGAACTCAAGGCGCCACCTCATGACGAGGCATGAACATAAAAAACACACCGCCATATTCGCAAGTGCCCTAGTTGCCCTGACAGTGACAGAGACAGTTGAACTTAGACAATGGGAAGCGCTCAAATCCTCGATGGATGACATCGAAAAGGCGTTTTCAGTAAACAGGCGTTCTTCTCTGTAGAAATTTCATGCACACATTTTTTCTTTTTCTTCTTCCCCTTCTACTTCTCAGGAAACGGTGCTTTGAGGTAATAATGTATCCATTTGGTGGACTGTCATCCACTGACAGGGCAAGAGGTCCACCAATTCCGGCAAGCACCCAGAGAAACTGAGGAGATGAAGGGCACCTGTCCATCCCCATCATGTCACAAAATGATCAAAATCAAAAAAGCAGCAAAGAATGGCATCTCCATCATTTCTAATACAAAGGAAGCTACCCAAATATACATATAAAGTTTGAATAAATACTATCAGATATAGTGGTGTTTCTTTCTTTTACAGTCTGTGTCGTCTTCTGTGTTTGTACCTACGTATACGGCATCTATGTTACCTGGGAAATAATCCACATGTGCAAATAAGTTTGTTATTGCCCGTTTTCCGCTCATCATATCCGGGGTAGGAAGTGCGTTACAGTCATGGCGGTCGTGGCCTTGTTCCCTCTCTTCACGCGGCCATGCTTGCTGAGCGCTATGTAGGAGCCTCTGTGGACCAGAGACTCATAGGCGTTGTAGTTGTTCGCGAGCAAGCTCTCCTTGAACTTGCACTCGTCATGGAAGACTGTCTGGAGAGGACAAAGAGACAGACGGAGTGTCTTTTAATGGACCGCTCAAGAAACGGGCACTTTGTAGTTTGGAGGGATGGGGGCAGACGGAAGATGAAATATTGAATAAAGCTCAAAGATGAGATCACACACAGCCTTGTTACCGTTATCTTTGTGCAATCTTCCAGCAATGCTAACAGCTCTTAATATGAGGCGTATGTAGTTTGCTCCTAAAAGTATTAATTAAAAGAAACACAGTGAGCCACATCCACTAATAAATGTGCTAATGTTCAACATTAAAGGAAGCTCTTTGGAGGGTTAGTATATTAACTGATTTATTTTCAATTTGACTGAACTGCAGAACTTAAATAAATAGATTTACATTATTTGAGATTTGCTGTCTGTAGGGTAAAAGGCTGTACCAGGAGAGTTCAGCTTAGCTTAAAGACTTGCAGCAGGGGGGTTGAGTCCAAAGGTAACAAAGTACGCCTACTACCACCTCTAATGCTCCCCATACCACAGTATAACACATTATATCTGTCATCCTGCTAATGAATCCAAAAAACGGAACAGTTTTTTTCAGATTGTTCTTCAATAATTTAAAGAGTTTTTTTAACTTCCCAGTTTGCTCCCTTTTTCCACTCTTCATGCAAAGCTAAAAATAATGCTCCGCTGGCTCCAAGATCAATTGGTAGGAAAGCACATCAATCTATTTTTACAAACTATTCCTTTAAAAAGAAAAAAAATGTTTCTGGAATTTTCAAACAATACAATTAAGCACCGTATTTACCTTTGATATCTATCATAAAATAGACAATGTGAGGATTTTAAGTACAAGAGTCCTGATCACTATTCTAAACATAGAGCCCTGCTACATAAGATATTCTCTAAACACACAAATCTGTCACTGAACAATACCACTGCTAACAGTGTATGACGTGTGCAGCGTGCAGCAGCAGAGCAAATACTCTCCCTCGGGAAGCCATGGGGCATAATTCAATCTCTTATCGGATCATCAGCCAATTCACAAGCTGATGCTTCATCACTCGAGACCAGATAACCGACTCGCATCGGGTCTGTCAAACATGTTGACCACAGAGTGCGAGGCAGCGGCCATGTGTCAGCAGGGCTCTACTAAACGCTTTCCTCCCCCTGCACCAGCCACACTCATATATTAATAGCTGCCCGTGCTCCAGAAGCAGACAAACTACATTCATTCTAATGGATTAAAAAGTTCAAGTTACAATTACATTTACATTCAATCAATAAAACGCTGTTTCTTTGTCGGCGATGCAATAAATATATATATATATTTCAATAAGGTGCATATGTGATTACACAAAGTAAACTGCCACCAGCATTTCATATTTCCAAACACTCACCGCAATCATCAGGAGAACAAATGAGGGTTTTTGTAAAGTTTAATTAATACATAGTAGAAGGTAATTAGTGGCACACTTTCTCTTCAGCCTGTGAAAGATCAAGAACAAGGTTTCTGTATCAGCCATTTTAAAATGTGAAGAAAAAATAACATAGAGGGCATTAACGAAAGAAATATGCGACATCCTCACTGACCTAAAATATGTCAAAGCCACTTCATTGTTTGCGTTGAATGTGACCTTTTAGATTGCGAGTGGGGCCTGATGGGCTATCGGGATCCCAATGGGGGACTTTAATGGTCCATGTCTTTCTAGCTAGCTAACGAGGGACTGATATTGAACTTAAGTTAATGTAAGAACAGCAATACTGATTCGTACCCCTGGATCAAAGAATTGGAAATAAAATGTTTGGGACACATGGACCCAACAACGTATTCATATTTCAAGCAGGAAATTATCAAAATAGATCATTCAACCATGTGTCAAACGAAAACTTGGTTACGTGAACATATACTATATAGAAATATGTTTTTAAAAGGCCTGTTTTGATTCTCATGTCTTATTTTGTAGCGTAAACTGTCTGGACAGCAAGTGGCTGTACAGACAAAGATCTGTCAGAAAGGCAGGTAGGATTTTAAACTAACAAGCAGATAAAATGGGTTTAGTGGCAACAACGGACGTTTCCTCTCAGCTCAAGGGCGCGTGGAAATCTGGGGAACAATACAATCGTCAAACTGAAGAAAACAGGATTGTTCTTGGCAGAATTCTAACAAAACACTGCGGAAGGCTCGTTGTCTTGAAGAGTCTGCCGGCCTTTCAAGATGCATATTTGAGACTAATTGAGGCTCCAGCTCAAGCAGCAATTATTAAAAACTGACTTTTGGATTACATGTACAACGTTTACATAGATGAGGTTGATCAACAGATGACAAATGCACTGTTCAGTGCTGCTCGTGGGCTGATTTGATGTTGAGGAACTCTAACTTGGTCTTTTGAAGGTCCCCTGTGTCATTACGGTAAAAACACATGTCCTCAGGTCTTCATTGTTTGATTTTGTATTATTCCTGTTCCCATTTCTGCTGATGGGGGCTGCGGCTTGGGTGTGATATATCGATGGGATGTTTGGATCGTATCATTTAAATCTTCCACGGTGAATACATTGCCAAATCACCACTGCTAAAATCAAGTAGAAATCTTTTTTTTTGTGTGCCATGTTGGAGGTAGGAGGAGCTGCGGTGGTGAGTTGGCCTGGTCCTCCCAAGGATGGTGTGATGTGCACTCGCCCTGCAGAATAAACGCTTTGCCGTTTAAATCGATTTCCAGCTCTGCTGACAAGTTTCATTGCGTCAGGGGGTTTTCCCTCCTCCTCCTCCTCCACCTCCACCACCTCCTCTTCCTCCTCCTCACACACGACCACATTACAGGCGCGTGGACTGAACCTTGCATCGGTTAACCTCATCATTATTTACCCCTAGGGGACCGGGCCTAGCACACTTGCTTTAAATGGAGCTTAATAAATTCCTAATGAAATTAAAATATGGGGATTTCGCAGCAGCTCTTCTGCTGGAAGGATAGCATCCCCAAAACACGACTGGCAATCAAAAAGAAGGTGGATCGAGCTGAATATCCCGTAAACTAACATTGCTGGACAGTATGAAATATAGTGCGCACCTACCGTTCCGTACAACCTTCCACGGCTGTTCATTGCGACAAACATCTCGCTGCTCACCCCACACAGGCTCACCACTCCTCTGTCCACCGTAGAAATCTCTAATAGACCTGAAGCAAGACAAAGCGTTACAGCATTTAGAGTGAAAACCAAACGAAACACCAACCGATCGTGACATTGTGCTCTCTCTCTCTCTCTCTCTCTCTCTCTCTCTCTCTCTCTCTCTCTCTCTCTCTCTCTCTCTCTCTCTCTCTCTCTCTCTCCCTCTCTGCGTCTATGGGTGTAACCTTGCAGATTGCTGCGCAGAATACGGAGCCTTTGTTCTGCATCCTTCACCCCATCTTAAATTTGCACCCAGGCGCGTGCCAATTAAGCGCATTCTCGCGGTTACCGCAGTAATTGCATGGACGTGCACTGTGCCATTAGTCTCCGGACCGCCCTCACGGGGCTGCGTAAAAATAAGTTGTGTCTAAAAGCGTCGATACATTCATGTCATGGTTGAGCTCCGGGAGGAGGGGGAGGAAATGAAGGGGCTCAGCCCTAATAGATACTTTATGACATATGATCATGCACGTTGAAAGAGGGGGTATAGACTACCCCGCTCATCATAGATCCATGCGCACTGACTCGCCCTCTCGTTCACGTCCATTGCATTACATCGGTGGAGGTATAACTCACTGTACTGGTTTTCATTATGTACACCGTTTATCCTGCCGTCGGGGAGGACCTGGAGGTGAAACCCGATGCCCACGTTGCAGTAGAGCCTCCGCACTCTCTTGATGCCCAGCAGATAGTCACTCTCCCAGTTGAGCTCCGGTTTCTCCCCGGAGATCCCCAGTACGGAGCGCGAGAAAAGCGTCTCCCATCGTCTCTCCAGTAAAGTTGCGTTTGTCCTGCTGCTGCTCGGTAACGGGTACGCTGACACGACCCCCAGCAGAAAGCCCAGGAGGACCACCGCGGTCAGCGTCCAGTGCGGCGTGCCGGCCTCGCAGGACATACTGACGAGGAGCCTTTGCGCAACGGCCATCCGGTTTACCTTCGGCCCACGTGGTCGATATTAATGACCCTAAAAATACCGCTCTTCTTGTTTTGCTTCCTTCGGCATGCTGGCCTAGGGGGGGTTATTTCTGGAGCGCGGATCGGGGCTTTGGGCATGAAACGCAGGACCCGGTGCAGAGGAGGAGAGGAGTCGGGAGAGTGCGCGGCAGAGCTGGAGGTGATGGTGATGGTGATGGTGAGGTTGGTGGTGGTGATTACCATGTTTTGCAGCGCATCTCTCTCCCTCTCTCTCTTCCCCCCCCCCCCCCCCCCCCCCTCTCTCTCCTTCACACACACACACACACACACACACACACACACACACACATGCACACACACTCTCTCCTCTCTCTCCCTTTCCACCCCCCCTCCCCGCCTCCCCCGCCTGTCTTCCTCGCGGTAATAGTTCAGGATAAATCTTCTGTACCACTCACTGAAACCCCCGGTTCAGCCTCGTCAGGCGCATCCCTGCATCCCTATAGATGGAATCGTGCTGACTTCGCCGCGGGGACAATACGAGGGTAGAGGGAGGGTGCTGACAGCAGGGGAACATACTGGCGAGGGAGAAACACCCCACTGTCACTGTTGGGACTTGAGGCGAGGAGAAAGCTCATTGGTGGCGTTCAGTAGGGCCGTGAGACGCGACGGGGCACGCGGGCTGCTCCCAAATTGGGTCGATGGTCATATGTCTGTCAGGCCGCTTCCTTATTTAGAAGGAAGGTGTAAAAACAGGCCCGCTTGTCACCGGAGAGCAATGACAGGGCTCTTGTGATCCCACTTCTTCTGCTGTGCCGTTCAAGAACTCTCTCTCTCACCCCCCCTCCCTCTCTCTCTCCGTCTCTCACTCTCTATAAATCTGTGTTTTTGTGGGAACACGATGCTGGACCAGAGAGCCAGCGGGGGGGCCCACCAGGCCATGGCCGGGCTGAGATCAGGGATCAGAGATCAGACCTGCGTGTCGGGGCGACATAAGACATACATACACCCCCGCCTCCCCTAGGCTCTATACGTCTTTGTAAAGTGTGCATACATTAAATATATGTATTTGTAACAGTACATCACAACCCCAATGCATCTTCCATGGCGCACTGGTGAGAACCGAGGAGCACACCGGAGAGGCCCGTCATGAAATGGTGCACATTGTCAGCGTGCCATTGCCCTGCGACGTGAAAGCCTGTCGTCTTTTCCATGTAACAGAGAATGGCACCAGCAGCGTGCCCATGCGTCACTGAGGCCAGCGCAGTTGCGCAGCAGCGGTCTCTCGTGCACGCGTCAGTTCCCCGGGATCTCCAAAGGAGGGCACCATTTCCAAATCCAATTTTTAGCACTCAGCCCTTAGCTGTCAGTAGATCCAACTCCAAAGAGCCCGATTCTTTACGCGTCATAACACCTTAACGTATATGTATCCAGTGGCGGGTGTTCTCTGCTGGCCTAAACAGAATCTAGTTTATATATATCATTATTATTATTATCCGGCGGCTTGTTTTAAAGAGAGCTTTTATCCAATCAGATTCAGCCCCAGAACTCCTCAGAGGTCTTCAACAGGGGGTCCTCGACCCCCAGGAGGTCCGCTGAGGTACTGCAATTTTTGGTTGATAAGACAATATATTTTTTCAACAATTCCCCCCCCCCACAAATTTAAATGTCTTCAGAATCAGAGTCGTATTTATTGTCTTTAAATACACATTAACATGAATAACATGAACAGATTGTAGCGAACGGATAAATTGATGGAGAACAACACACACATTCAGCTTCCCACAGCAGCTCTCTCAAGCTGGGCAAACTCCGTAGAATAGGGGGTCCCTGCTCCATCTCGCCATCAGTTTGGGGGACCTCTGCCTGAAAAACGTTAAAGACCCCTGCTCTAGGTAGCTTCTCACATCAACGTGTATTGGGACGATATTGTTGATCGTCTGAAGTCCTCAGCCAATCAGATCTTTAGTTTGTCATGCTGGGCGTGTTCTCTGACGTGCCAGTGGCACAGAGGTCGCCTCATAAATCAATCTGTGCGCTGTGATTGGTCAGCGGGTATCAGTGTATTTAGAGTTCAAGTTGAGCTTTGTCTGTAAATAGTGAACAGCATTCGGTAAAATAACTGCTTTTGTGTCTTCAGTAATGTGTTACTTTGTCTGTCGTTTTGATTATAAAGTTAATAATTTATTGTTGATATTGTTTCGTCATGCTTTGTTCTAAATGAATTGTGTCTGGTTCTTGTGAGTTTGCTCGTGTCACTGAGTTAATTACATCTGGTCATGCGTGTATTCATGTACCATCAGTCAGTGTATTTGTAGGTGTGGAGCTTCATGTAACATTTTTTTTCCACTTTAAATGTTAGTGTTATGAAAATAAATAAAAAACCTATAACTGTGGCGTCATAATGAGGTTATCAGGTTACTTATTTGTAGTAAGCAGAGTAGAAAAATCACATCCCCCCAACTGATGTAGACGTATGATAACTATGATCAAAAGGATTTTCACATTCGATTTATTAAAATATTTTAAAGTTGTGTACTGTATGCAGAATTGACCAATATTTCATCTGTATTTCATATGAAGGAGAATGCGTTTCATAAATTTACTCACAGACACCTAGTTAACAATGCAGTTCTTTTATTTTGTATGAAATCTATTTGCTAACTGCATATTCATACAGCATTCGATGGATGTATAATGAAAATGTCACACACCCTTTTAATTCACCGCATTCATGACGATAACACACGTGACCGAAAAACGGATTTGAAAAAAACCTGATCGATCACATCGACTTGTGGCCTCAACATAGTCGGACCATTGGCACTTGTTTTGTGTGAAATTAAAAAAGACATTTGGTTTAGCGCAACAGGGTCTGAAAACAATTCCCTCCGATCAGTGAAATATTTGTTGTGTGTTTATATGTTTAAGTTTAACTCAACTACAGCTCCTGGATGAGAAGAAATACACGGTTACATGTGACCCAGATGAGGCAGTATTGTCAACTACACCAGGTAGTAAAGACAAATCAGAAAGAAGTAGTGTGAAAGGAATTGAGTTATAGCGGCATTCACCCAGAGATGCTAACAAAGTTACAGGATAAAGCAGGTAATGATAAAATAAATTATGCTTGCTGATGCTTCTATAGCACATCTATGCAAATCATTTTTCTTATTCACAGAAACAGCCTTCGTTCTCGCACCAAAGAGACGAGCCCAATAGTTTAATAGGTGCAAATTTAGTAATAAAAGCATAATAAATAAATCCGTATGTACAAAAAAAGTTTGAAAAATGTACAGGCACTTGTAAAACAACCTTCTTTAGGACATTTCAGCTACTCGACCAAACTTGGGGAGCCACGTTTTTTGGGGGAAAAGGAGAACGCATGGCTCGAGTGTCTTGTGCTGCCGCGGCGTCGACCTGACAAACAAACCCTGCGCCGCGTTCACTTCTCTCGTGCGGAGCACTCCTCAGGCAGCGAGGTCCTGCAGGACGGTTTTAAGCAATTCATCTCGAGCAGGACAGAAGATGCTCGGATGAATTCCCTTTGCGTTAGGAAACGAGCGCGGTGGTTCGACCAATTCGACCGCTTTTAAAAGTTGAAAAACTGAAGGCCACGTTGCAATATGACGCATAGTTAACCCGGGCCGTGGTGACGTCCACACAGCTCATACGGACTGGTGTGGGGGGAAAAGAATCAACACATTCACACCCTCACGTCACCACTTTTAAAAATATACCATTTCCTCACTGTCCCTCTTTCCGCTTTCCCACACCATCAACCCCCCCCCCCCTACACAGACACACACACGCAAGCACACACTCCAAATCTGCTACCATCAATATACAGTGTCAACTCACACCATTTTTCAGTAACCCAATATTTACTTCACTTTACTTTTGGTCTTCCATGAATAGGTTCAATGAAGCAAGCTTCCCTCAAACATCCCCCGACATGTTTACATGACAGCATTATGCAAAAAGCCCGCCCGGATGTGGTGGATTGTCATTTGAGAATACTATAAAACATGAAGGCAGCAGGGAACAATTAAAAAAAGAAAAAAGTATTTTTTTTTTTACCAGTGGCTTAAAAAGGACAGGATGAAACACAAACAATGTACTAACCTGAGACGACTGTCCTGATCAGGAGCATAGTTGGACAACTAGAATAGATTATTCTTGGTGAGACAGAAGTCCCTTGATTTGAATGTTTCCAGTAAACGGTTTCATTTTTACATCCCCATATAATCTCACCTCAAAAGGTTGCATAACAGAACTCCCATAGGGATATACTGTAAATTTGTATAACAAAACATTTACAGTTAAACTGTAAACATTAATTTATAGATGGCACTAGATGGGGGAGGAGGGGGTACAACTGAATCTTTAAAGGGGTATCCATGAAGGTCCTTGCCTTACCTTGAGGTATGCTTGGTATTCACTCAGTGGAAAGGAAAACTGCCATTAAAACTGAGGGCAGTGTTTAAAAGGGGTTGGCACTTAAAAGGGTCGTGTAGTAGGATTTGGCGGAATCTAGTGGTGAGGTACCTGGTCGCTCGCTCGCTCGCTCCTCTTCCAAGACAACGCTGTGTTTAATATGTTGACGGGTGTTAAAAAAAGACTGTACTACCCACATGTGAAGTTAACAGGATAAAATCATTAAAAAACCCAATGGACGCTCAGAAGGCGCATATAAGATGATGACGAATTCGACAGTAAACCTATTTGTTGTACCTGAGGAAAGAGATGTGTATGGATACAAATTAAAACAGATATCAAAACAAAAATGTTTTGTATGTTGGGGTCAATTCCTGACACCACATCACGGAAACCCCTTTCCATCATAACCCGACAGGCACTTCCCCAACACAGCGCGCTCACAAGTGCAGACACACTGTGCTTGAGCAAGCGAGGCATCGTGGTGCACCGTTGGGTTTCCGCCTCATGGAGCCCGACTGATCCATTACGTCCTTCCTGCGACACCGTCGCTCTCCAGATGGTTTTTGCGTCACGAGTCTCAGTTTGAGTCTCAGTTTTTGAGGTCCTTCTGCTCAAAGACGATCCGACTGGCCAGGTAGATGGCGACGGTGCCGAAGACGGCGGAGCAGGCGATGTAGGCGGTGACGGACTGCGCGAACTGAACGATCGTGCCCATGAACAGGGTGGGGAAAACCTGAGAGAGGAGGAAGGTGCTGTCCAAGATGGCAAAGTCCAAACCCACGCCGCGTTTCTCACGACCCGAGTCAACCTCCTCCTGTTCGCCGCCGCAGCTGTTAGTTGAGCCGTTCGGGCCGTGCGGCTGGCCGAAGAAGGCATGCTCGTAGGGAGACCCTGCCATGTGGGTCAATCTGCCCTCCTCCTTGCCAGGGGTCAAATACGCAGGGTCCCGCTTGCTTGTGACACCGTTTTTATGCAAGCTTTGGGTTTTCCTTTTCGGCATATAGACCTGAAATGAGACAACAGAGGGCTCAGCTCATCACTCACACAGGTTTTGTCAACGCAACGTTGCGTGAAAGTTGTTAGCTCTTAACCCACCTCCTTCTCCTTGTGGTACATACAGGTGAGCGTGTAGGGCAGAGACTGCAGCGTGGCGTACGCGTAGCCAGTGAGGGACGTCATGATAGTGACCAGGAGCACGCTTTTGGACAGGCAGATGACCAGAGCAGAGACTGTGAAGCTCACCATGCTGCTCATGTAGACCCAGCGGAAGCCAAAGTGGCGAACCAAACGACTCATGATCAGCGAGAAGAAGGTTGAGGTAGCACATTGCAGGAACAGGCCCATGCTGCCCATACGGATACCTGAAAGAAAAGGAGGGAGGAGAAAACCGTTTAGCCACATTAAACTCGTAGCTGGTCGGACAGCCTCGTTCGGGGAAAAAGCTTTAACTGTGGATTCCTTGTTGCAAACCATTGTCAGGACAGACGTAAAATAAGACATCTGCATCATCTCCGATCATTTGCCCACGAATAAGGGAATAAAAAAAACATGCAGCGTGCACAGTCGTTCTTATGACAACTCCTAGCTGGTGCACTCACATGAGCCCAAACTTTACCGTTTAGCCCGTTAGCAAAGTGGGACACTTTAGCAATTAACCCGTAATAAATAATATTAAACACATAAAGGCCACTCTTTGTTGGTGACAACGGGCACCTTGGCCTCAGGTGTGGCCTCTGGCCTCTGACCGAGATGGAAGTTCAAAGAGTGGCATACTTAGATTAGGAAAAACACGATTACGCTCAATTGCCTGCTGCATGGCGTCAAAATGTTTTCTATTTTTAAATAAATGGATTAACGGCCAGCGGGCTCAATGAACATTTACCAGTGGCGATATTGGTAGCGGCTCGCAGTACGCAGTGCTGGTCCTTTGAGAAGTTCAGTTTGCATTAGACACGGAAGGAAGGAAAAGAAACTACAGTTCAGTGTTTGCTGCTACATCGATGCTGTGAATATCAAACTGACCCTTAAAGAAAAAAAACTAAACATTAGTGTGCTTTTAAAGTAGAGTGCAATTATACAAGCGTTTGCATTGGCTGTTTCAAGAAAGAGTTTCCATTAAAACATTTGAAGGAAAAAAAGTGAACCAGTGATTTTGTAAGCTGCTGGAAAATTGTTCAATTTTAATAATGTTACCAGATAAAGCACATTTATTTTTCCCTGGAAGCCGGGGTGACGACACGTCTGCACTGTTGCGTATTTCTGCTGCTATCGGCCTGATCTCCCGGCTTGCTCCCAGTGAACAGTGTGTCAGAAGTGTGTCAAAAGTTCAGCCGCGGGGCAGAGAATCGCTTCTGTGAAAGGAGTGCGTGGATCACATTACCCTCGGGAAGCAAAGCTGGCGAGCCCACTTTGCAAACACCGCGGACGATAAGGACAGAAATTCAAGCCCTCCGAGATACGGGACGGAGTCAGAACGCTACCGAATGTGTGCGCTGGAGGACTGCTGCATTTTTGGGAAAGGGCATCGTATCTGTAGCACGAGCTTCACACATGTTTGCATGGCAAACATTCCTAGTAGGAGAGATGATCACATAAAAGGAAACTGTGAATGCAACTCCAGACACAGCAGAGGACCTTGTTGCGGCTCAACATCTGCAGGTTGAGAGACGTGGTTTAATAACATCCGCAGAGTTTCAGATTAAACAAAATGCAGTGCAGACGGACCTCAGGATTCCACCGGACTTCAATGAAAGTTCTTTGTGTGCCGATTCCTTGACATTAATTCTTTGTGAGTGCGACATTCCTCGTGGTCCAGCAAGCACAGGGAGGAGAGACGGAGGAAAAGTAAAAATGTAAACAGAGCGCCGAGGGAGAATGAGTTGGAAAAGGAGGGAGGAGAGAAGAATGTGGATGGAGGGGATAGAAAATGTCAAATGAAAGAGCGGGTGCGAGAGGTCGAGCGTGAGGATTATGAGAAAGCAGTAAGGAAAGATTAATCAACTCTAAAGTGAAGCAGAAAAGTTCAGTTCATTAGTTTGAGGTTATGTAGAAGCCCAAAGACAGACACATGGCGGACGATGGTCAGTCTGGCTGGACCGTAAACAAAGAGACTTAAAACCTTTCCCCGTGACACCAGCCTCTATTATTAGGACATGTGCAACTTCTCGACATGGAGCAGATGTTTCCCTCAGTGAAAGTCTTTACTTTAACCTCTTCTTTTCTCAAGGGTTGTTTGGTACAATATCGAAAAAGACAGAAGTCTCCCTCCTCCACCATGGACCCTACGCCGCTTCTCGTGGACCGTGAATTGGTTTATATTTTCTTTCTTTTTCTTTAGATGAAAAGATTAACAGAGGAAGAAACATATTATCAAGAGTGTGCAGCCTCAATTAGCCGAGGAGGAAAGTGTCTTTTTGTTGAAGACCGATGAAATGAGGTCGCACAACACATGACGGCGGTATCCGTATTATTAAGAGGAGATCTGACCTTCGGCGTATCTCTGCTTGGACACACTTCCTGGCAATGCGCTGGGCACGCCATCGTACAGCCCTTCCCCCACAAAGTCTGTGTAGAAAAGCATGAAGGACATGACGGCGATCCAGCTGCACAGTTGCGCCGCGCACAGCCGCCTCATGACGCGCGGGACGTGGCAGTAGCTCCTGTAGATGACCGGGGTCATGGACCAGCATGTCCTCAGCAGGCAGAGCAAAGGCCCGGACTTCAGCCACCTCAGTTTGCCCTTCAGCAGGTAGCAGCACGAGCGCGGCACGCCGCACTGGCCGGCCTCCATGGCGCCGGCCCCCGGCTCCAGCAGAGACCCGGACGACAACGGCGATGCCGCCGCCGCCCCAGAGCTGCCGCCGATGGCGCGCGAGGGTTCCACGGACACCCTCATGGTGGTGAGCACGCTGCAGACGAAGATGCCGGCGAGGAGGGAGAAGAGGCACCCGGCCTGGCCTCCGAGGTAGGCAGAGAGCACGCCGCGACTCCAGTCCAGCGCGGGCAGCAGGTAGCCCACGCAGCCGCCCAGGCTGACCATGCAGGAGAACATGGCGAAGGCCTGGCCGTAGTCCTCCTCGTCCTTGTACAGGTCCGACAAAAGAGCCTCCAGCGGCGTGAAGCACACCTGTCCGCAGAAGTCCAGGAGGCCCACCCCGAAGATGAGGAAGCCCACCTGAAGCAGGATGGTAGAACGCGCGTCAATTTCTTCCTTTTCGGGTCGGATGGACGGTCAAAGACAATTAACGGGTGTCCTACCTGGAAGGTGCGGCCTCCCCAGGCGAAACGCGCCGCCAGTACGTCGGCGTTGGGAATGATGAATAGCGCCAGGAGGACCCCTAAAGACAGCAGCCAGATGAAAGGTCGGCGGCGGCCGTAGCTGCTGTGGCACTGGTCACTGGCAGAGCCAATCAGAGGGATGAACAGGAGGCCGAGCACGGGGCCGATACCTGCGGACAGAGCAGCACGGTACGGAAGCATTTAGGGACAGAATGTGTAGAGGACAAACAGCAGAAGACTTGGACAAAGGACGCACTCTGAATCAAATTTCGTATGATAGCCTGAAATCACAAATTGCACTTTCCGAGCAGGAAAGCGTCGATGAGGTCGCTGCTGCTGACGGCTGGTGAGGTTCCTGCAGATGGCCTGCTGCCTGAGGGCCGAGCCTCGCCCAGCTCAGCCGCCACGCGTGGTCGGGTCCGGCTAATTGGAGCACACCGCGCTACATGCGGCGCCCACGGTCTGACACACGTGGATTATGCTGGGGGTTTGACATTTAAGAAAAAGGAACCCCGTGGAGTTTTCGTTAGAGACTTGCAAATTCTTACTTCCCTGATTCGGATGAAGAGGGCCCTTTGTGCAAATTCATCTCTGACATAAAAAAAAAAAATGAAAATGAATAAATGAAACACAATCTACAGCGAAAAAGAACCCGACGGTAGAACAGGGTTATGTTGTGCGTGTGTGTATATTCATATAATGCAGACAAAACAAATGGAAAAACACAACATTTTCGTTGTCTGAGACCCAGAGACCGGGTGGGCGAGGGGCAAGTCGAGTACGCCGAGTGAGCCAGGCGAGCACCTGCAGCACATTTCTTCAGCTGTGGAGGCTCGTCATGGCGATCCTCACCACGGAAATACAGCGGGCTTTGGCAACTTCGCAGTGCACCGGAGAAGCAGACCTGCCAGCGCGCACACGACGGCATTACAGCGGCAATATGGACCTACGCGCCGGTACAGAGAGTCGGTACCGACAGCAACAAGAGACACACAACAAGTAAAAGTACCACCAACATAACGTCCATTCTCATAATTAGCATATAAATGAGTTATTGCCCTGAAAGGTGGTCGAAGCGTAAGATGATTGTACATGGTTAGAAACACAGAAGTATTCGTGTTACTTTAAACTGTTGAATGTTTCATAGACTGTAGACCTGATCGTCCCTCAGGGTTCTCTCTGTTTTACAGCTCTATCTACTTACTCACACACACATTAACATGTGACCTGTGAAAAACGGACCTTAAAGTGCTTAATATAGCAGAGCAACAGACACCTCAGTTTTTAAAGTCACGCATGAGCTCGTCCACTGGGGGAAACGAGAGAAAGGAAGTAACAACTGGAGGATGAAGCAGCCAACAAACGGCTGTCAGATAAAGTCGAGAGCAGCCATCTGTGAACCCGACACGACAGCTCGAAGGAAATAGACTCTAACCCTCCCGAGAAACGATATCTAGCTTCGTTCAGATATCACTCCGGTAAGAATCAGAGTGTCACAACGCCCGGCTGTTTGGGAGGGAACTCCACTTTTCTTCATATCACCAGCAGCTGTAACAGAAACGGAGGAGAAGTGTACATTGTTCTCCGTACTTGAATAGCCACTTCTGTCATCCGCAGCCTTTTGGTTTTCAGTGGAATTGTGCTCATCATCTGCATAGTCACAAGGAAACGTCTCAAATAGACGCCCTCAGTGAACACCATGTGAAGGCTATTTGGGAGAGGATAATACCACTATTCACAACGCAATTACAGTGTGCAAATATATACCATATGATGCCAGCTGGGTTTTCAGACACACACACACACACGCTGCTAATTTGGGAGCAGCTTTTCCAAAGGAAACAATCTGTCTGTATTAACGTTTTCATTAGTGAGACTTTTGGGAAAAAAAAAAGAGTTAGGAAAGAGGTCCGATCGAAAGGATTAATGCAACTAAAGCCACCGGTTCACAACCAGTAAGTGACCATCAGCGGCGCGGTCGGTCTCGTTTGCCGCATGTATGGCTGAAAATTCAACCACTTTCAAACCCAGACGACTAGCTTCAGGTAACAAACATGTTCCTGCTTCCCTTTTCCCTTTTTTCGCGAAGAGAGCGTCGTTTAAAACGTTTCCCTGAGAACAAGACGGAAGACGAGCATCGGGATTCACAGGCGCGCCTTCTCATTACATTTAATTCAAACTTCTTCTGATATCAACCAACAAGTGGTGTTTACAAGGCCAGTGGGAACTGCTTTGGCGCTTCAGCACCCGTCTGAGCCCGACCTGTTCCAGATCCTTCTGCCTGCTATGGTCACAGACCAGCCTGCTAAAGAAAGGCCGGGATCCAGAACTCGTCACTTTCTGGCTTTCTTCATGCGGATCACGATCATCTCGGGTGCCATTAGGCCCGGGGTGCAGCAACGGGGAATGTCCTACAGAGGTTACTACAGAGGAGGGGCGGGCTTATTGTGATTGACAGGTTGCTGGCAGCGCCCTATGAGGCGTCTCTGCGTCACTCGTCCGCATTCCAGAGAAGGTCGCTTAAGTTTACGGGTCACACAAAGTCAAGATGACGTAATAGAAGAAATCCCCAGACTGACAGGCCACAAAGCAATGGACACCGTCTTGATGTGATTTCTGCATCAGTTCTTTGAAAACAAACGAATCAGATGTTTATGCTGGTGTGAACTGACCAGTAGAGAAAGTGGATGTGAATCACAGATGCTCCTTGTTTTCCAAAGTTCACCGTCAAGCGAATTCACTGAACTTCAATAGGCAACACGTGTCTCAGTCGGTCTGGAAACTGTGGCTGCTGCTCCGGGCGCTTTGCTCTCCTGCTGCCTTACAATTCCCCAAAACAACAGAGGAGAAGTCCACGTGCTTTCTGCCACGTCCTCCATTACGTCTTTATGACCTGAACGGGACAGACGAGAGGAGGAGAGGAGCCCGGAGGCACAGTCTGTGCATGACCCCCGCGATTACACCCCGAAACTCATCAGATCCCATCTGTGTTGCACTTTAACGGAACCGCTGCCCACAAGCGATTAGACTGATTAAAATGAAATCCAGTTTCCCTCCGGCCTCATGACAACGCAAAGCGGCCTGGTAACCAGATCCCGAGCCCTTACCCAGCACCATGGTCATGTAGCGCTCCTGGACCCCCGCTTCCAGCAGCAAGGGGGGCACGTAGGTGATCCCGGCTGCCACGCAGATCTCCAGCCCGCAAGCCAGGGAGTTCAGCAGGACCAGGCGCCACTGAGACCTCCATCCGGGCATATTTACACGGGCGGGCTCGCCTCCGGGACCGGCGAGAGGCGGGCGGGCAAGGGGGGGAGCGCAGGCAGGCGGATGATGATCCGTCCCGGGTGGGACGCCGGGGATGGACGGCAGCGAGGACGCGTGGGTGTCTCAGGTGACCTGGGGGACTCATCCTCTTCTCAGCATCGTGGATCTGCAGGAGCAGGGGGAAAGATGGAGGAGGAGAGCTGTGAGACACGGGAGGAAGCTTTGAAGGAAACTTTGAAAAAAGTGTGAGTGACAGTTGAGGAAAATGATGTATGATGGTGAAACAGGCTGGGGACAGCAGTAACAACAACAGGCGGACGGAGGAGATGAGTCAACTGCAGCGACGTGAACGCACAGAATCACTTCAAAAAATAGACAAAAAATAAAATAACGCCCCCCCCCCCCCTCCCACCTGCTGCTGCATTGCTCGCCTTTATTTAAGTCTTCAAAAGAACTGCGTGGTAGAGTTTTGAAAGATAAACCTTAAATGAAGAAGTCCAAGTCCTAATTTCCCGTCTGTAATAACTGGTATTAGAAGGGAGCCTTCCCCTGACTGACCCCGTCATTATCAGTGTTATTAAGCGCCGCAGTGCTCTCCGGATTTCCATTTAAAGAATATTCCATTGTTCAGCCGAATGTGGACGAGAAAAGGTCTTCGGCGCCACTAGAAACAGACGGCAGGTAGAAGAGGACATCTGAGAGGGAGGACACCTCGCGGCAATGTCTCCTCTGAAATGTGAAGCACGCCGTCCCGTGCTGACAGACGACCCGACCACTCATTTAATGATTGCCTGCCTGCCTGCCCCCCCCAGGGGGAATAGCTGATATTCCCTCACAGGCCCCATGGTGACGATACCGTATGTTCAACCAAACCAAGTCCTGCCGTTCTGAAGAGATTACGGTTTTACATTTGATTCGTCTGAAGAAATGAGGTGTTACTTTCATTACAAAAAGAAAAGCAAGAATATCAGGCTGCTTGCAATCTGTGTGCGCTTAGATAACAGTCCATGACCAACAAAAAAAACGATAACCATCATCCACCGATGAGGCGTGCGTTGGTTTAAAGCAGAGGGAGAGAGCAGGAACAGTCAGACCCGCCGCAAACAGACACAACAAGGTGCTATATTTGCATTTGGTGAGATCACTTTCTGCCAATGGCACCCATCTGTTCTCTCCTTATCTCCAACAAGATGCGGCGAATAACAGGAAACCTGCTCTGATCGGAAGGTGATTTCATCCAATTCAGCGTTCCAAGGACGCTTTTTCAAAAACAACTACAGTCAGCGTGGTTACATGGATTCGAATAACTGGCTTAGTCGGACTGAAATCGAATGATCCGTTTCATGTAAACACCTTTGTCCGACTATGTGCGGTCCAACTACGATCCGACTAACACCCCTGGATAACTCGATCCGATCCAGTTGATAGTTTGACTATTGCGGCATGTAACGGTGAATCGGATAAGGAACTGGACTTTGCGTCTTGCGCATGCTTGAGATCCCGACGGCGTCTTCTCTCCGTTATCAAATCAGCCAATAGCGCCATTCGCATTCGCTGTACTCCTATTAACATCATGCAAACATAGTAGAGGGATGTAGCTTCACCTTGCTCTCCGTTCGCCATCTTTCTCGTAATGTTGATGCTGTTGTTGTTGGTAGTGGTGAAGCGGTCAAGCAGAAATGGCTGTATCACAACTAGTTGTAATGAAAACAGCGCCACCTATCATATCGGATATGACCTGCTTTCGGACAACGATTCGATTTATTCACTGCCATGAATATTGGGATAATAACACCTCCCCCCGAAAGATAGCATAGTCCGACTAAGCAAAGATTCCAATTATACCATCATGTAAACACACTGAGTGACTTGTTGAAAGTATCTAGTCGTATCAACTCAGGTGTCCCTAAACGTCTGTATTTAAGCCCCACTAGCACGTCTCCTTGCATCTAAACCCCCCTCCCCCACCTCCCCCCACCGGCGCCTTTCACCACCTTAGAATCAGCCATGTTAACCGAATGCTGTCCATGATGCCGTCAGAGTTCCTACGGGTTCCCGGCCCGGGCATTGTGGGCCGCATTGATATACAGGCTCTTTGAGAACCTGGAGGACAAAGCGACAGTGTCGGCCGGCCAGAGCGAGCGGGGCCCTTGGTCACAGAGAGAGAGAGAGAGAGAGAGAGAGAACCATTTCACACCCGTCAGATCCCATTCCCACCGCCCGGCCACGCTGAAAGACACCCATCGGGGGACCGGCCTCTGCCCCACAACAACCCCCTACCCGCCGATTCTCTGTCTCTGTGTGTGTGTTTGTGTGTGTGCACACATCCCCCTCCCCACCCCCGCCCCCCAGCACTGCATTTCGTCCTCATCCTTGCTCCACCCCTGAGGTCAGCTTAGTCTCTGACCTGCATTCTAACAGCACCTCTTTGACACGACTGGCTGCGCCTTTCGGTTCTGAATCGCGTTCTGAAATGCTTTCAATTGTGGCCCCAGCTGACGCTGCGTCAGATGTTCTCACTGAAGACAGAAGCCCCCCCCCCCCCGGTGGCAAGAATAGAGAAATCTGATTTGTCTACCCGAGCGTCTGCGGCGTGTCTGGAAGCCGGCCCGCATGAGAGTCAGATTCCAGGGTTTTTAAAAATGGAGCGGTTGCGTGAGTCCCGACCCGAGTGCCGGCGGGGAGAGTCAGAGTCAGGGCAGAGGGAAGGCCGGACTGAGAGAAAGCAGTAGTGGTGTCCTGAAGCATTCATCACTGCATTCATCCACCTCAAAGTCAAACAATAAAACCCATTTGTGCGAATATGGGGGCCATTAGGCCAATTCGATGTTTGTGGCGTGTGCACAGAGCAGCACGGAGCTCTCAGGGCGGAGCAGAGAAACACACACACACACACACACACACACACACACACACACACACACACACACACACACACACACACACACACACACACACACACACACACACACTTAATGACACCTCTGACTCTACAATGTATTCCAGTCATGCCCTTCATCGCGCTCCTATCGCTCCGGTGCACAAACGCACGCACACGCGGTTAGACAAAGAGCTCCCTCTTCAATTGTCCAATTGTTATTAGGGTATCAAACAGCACAATTACCACATTGGGAAAGTATCAATGATCATGATACAATTTTTGTTCTGTTCCTTTACTTGCATCCGGCCGCCGTACTCTCCTCATTCACCTTACGTGTTCAAACAAAACGAGCTGCGCCGGGCTGCTGGTGGGAGGGTGGGGTCTGTGTGTGTGTTTGGGTCGGGGGGGGCTTTTGTCGGCTTTGCCATGGCCCCCATTAATATGCCCTATTCAGCTGCCAGCCCCCCCCCCCCCCACAAAAAAAGGTTCTAAATGACGTATTCTAACGATACAAAACAGCCTTTGTATACATTGTGCCAGGGAGAGTCATTTGATATAGTGGGCTACAAAGTCCACTTCCAAGTCTTTTATTAACGCAGCGTTCATATAGATGGTAGGATGTGTGTCTGTGTGCATATAAAGAGTTGGGTGGGCAAGGATTTTGGGGGGTCTCAGCTGGGCATGGAAGAAAAGAGAGGAAGGAATTGCTCTGCGATGACATCAGAGCCACAAGCGCATCGAGGCTGTGGTTGCAGAAACCTCAGCAGGAGGGAGTTGGGCTCCAGCTGAAGGGCTCCGGCTCTGAGGCCTTCCTCCCTCCCGGTCCCCGCCCCATCGGTGCCCCGCCCATCGATGTGATGCACGTTCGGTCCCTATCTGGACCTCAGGGTTCCGCCTTTGCATCCGTCGCACGCTCGGCCTCTGGACAGTTGGAGTGTCATCTCCAAGCGGCCAGTGTGCCGATCAGACGTTCTGATCTTCCAGTCGTTGTCTCAAACCCGCCTTTGACCACATTTGCATCAAATTTTTAATATCCAAGACTAGTGTTACTATCTCATCTTCTCTGTAACGGCTGAAATGACACAATAGCCAATTGTAATGCTTACATTTCACGTGGTTTTGAGTCTTCATTTCTTTAACCTGTGATTATTCAGGGATGTTTCTCTCAGTTCTGTGCAGCCTGTAACACGCTCCCCCCACACGACCTTTAGACCACCAAACAGTCTCCTTCAGCTCCTCACACCTGGATGGCAACATGGAACTTATTCCACAATTAAAAGAAAGTGCACCGTTTCATTTGTGTTCTGCCCCCGACAGCCCTGACCGCGCTGACCCGAACCCCCATTGCCTGTAATCTTAAACCCATATCCGTCACCGTGACCCCCGAACTCGCCTCTCACCGCAAATCACGTGACCGTCGTGGCATGTCAAAGACAGCGCCAGCAGGCGCGGGACTGTCTGCCGCTGATTTTCACCTCCCGTAACGAGCAGTCTAGTTAAATGAAGAGTCAAGCGGTCGCCGGGTGGTTTCCAAGTAACACTTGGCTGAAGAGATAGGTCATTCCGTTTTAAAGTGAAAGAAGTCGAAAACTCTCAAAGAAATCATTCACTACACCAGAAGTCCCCAGTGCCGTATTTTAAAAAGCACCTCCACACCAACGGGAGGGTAAAGCGTTGGTGCTTATCTGAAAGAGACTGCAGCTGATCCACACGGAACAACTTAACACACACGCGTGCAAATTGCTCTTATCAGGTGAACATGTGAGGAATGCAGTGTGCGATGGGCTGGCGTGGGATAATTAGGCCGAGTGTGTGTGTGTGTGTGTGTGTGTGTTTGAGAGGGCGAACTGAGGGAAGCTCGGGCTCAGGGAGGGTGACCGTTATCATACCGGCCTCATGCAAATAGCGCGACAATGGAGTGCAGCAGAGTTGAGCGGCGTATCCCCGCGGGCCGCAGCTTCACAGGCCCTGAAAACCTATTGTGGCGAGGTGAAAGGACTAATGGGGGCGAATGCAAACGCTAATGAGTTCTCATTCAACAGCGATCAGGTGTGTTTACATTCAGTTAACAGCGCAGACGGCGTCTTAATCAGGTTTAACCAACAAACCGTTATGAAATGAAATAATTTGAAGGAGTTTAGCAGTCAAACTAACTCAGTAACTGTGGAAATCGTATTCAAGTTAAATCATTAATGTGATAAGACGTCATGTAATATTCATCTGGGTGTTGAATCAGTCTGTTGGAAATTGCCTTTTGATCAATAAAAAGAAAGCGTTCTTGTGAG